TTTTTTTTTTTTTTTTTTTTTGGTACCAGGGTCGAACTCAGGACCTTGAACTTGCGAGGCAGGCAGCAGAACTACTGAGCTAAATCCCCGGCCCCCTTCATTTCGTTTTTACAGGGCGCGCGCTCACTCCGCGTTCCGCCATTCCTCCCAGAGTGCTCTGCGGCAGAAAAAACCGTTCACAGACGCCGCCAGAGTGTTTAGCGCTGTAGCGTTACTAAGTTTGGCCCTTCCCGGCCACCCTTCACTGCAGACGTCGCTTGGCTGGTTAACCAGGACCTCCTCTGAGGAACGTGGTTTGCTTCGTGCGTTTGAGAGAACGTTTAATAGTTCTCAATTCGCCATGTATTCCAGGCTGAGGAAGGACGTTTTGTTTTATGGGGCCAGTAGGCCGAATACAAAATTAAACATGCAATATAATTTTTAGTTTGCGCTATTCCGGCTGGAAATGGGTCGTTTTGTTTGTTTTGAAACAGGGTCCTGCAGTATATGTAGTTTACTCTGGCCTTGAACTCACGGCGATCCTCCTGCTTCAGCCTCCCACGTGCTGGGATTACAGGACAGCGCCACTTTTTTTTTTTTTTTTTTAAAGAAATAGCACCTCAGGTTCTAATGATATGAATATCGACAACTATATATTGCGATGCTTTTTTTTGGCAGACTAGACTGTGTTAGGCGTTAGTGGCGTCAGTTGGGTTCTGCTCCAACAACTGCGGGGTTCAGGGCCTCTTGTGACGCGATGCAGATCAGGACACCCTGTTTGTATCTTGGAAGTGAAGGTGGAGCCAGAACAGTCAGTGCTAAACCCTATCGAACGCCAAACCTGCACCATCTCACAGTAAACAGACCTCTTCTTCACTCCACTCAGGGTTTGGACTGCCATGTTTTGTTTTTGTGTTTTGGTGCCGGAGATATGAACTTGGGACCTTGCACTTGGGAGGCAGGCGGTGGAACCACTGAGCCAAATCCCCGGCCCCCAGTCTGCATTTGGAACAGAAGAGCTGTGTATGTTTTATCTAAGAAAATTCCTCAGTTTCCCAAAGTCATATCACGTTTCATAATTAAGAACATTGTAAAGGTGGCAGTGGGTTAAATTTTTCAAGTGGCTTTTGCAGTCCCCTTTTGGAAATTCTGTATCTGCTACGTTTTGTCTCGTCACAGCAAATACTTTGAATCGAAAATATAAACGTAGAACATCCAAACGAATCAAAGTAAGGAAACGAAATCAGTTGGAAAAGGGAAGCAAATCTACATGGATAAAATGAGGTTTGTTGCCTTTCTAAATGCAAGCCACTTTTACAAAAAGAGGTCAGAGTTACATATTTCTGTGCCTGCCACAGAAGAAACTTTAAAAGTTTTGAGTTTTTATTTTCAGGAGCTTTCAACTTTTTTTACTGCAGCTCACAATAGAAATGTACCTTATTACCTAATAAGCAAATATAAAGGACACTTAATCTAAAATGAAAGTTTTAAAAACAGTACTTATTGCTCTCTGCAGTGTGTGCTATTTTCTATTTCCTTTTTTTTTTTTAAATGCTTGTATGCCACTGCAGTATAAGGTGAATGTTTTCATGTTTCTGCATGGATGGCTTTTCATTTTTAAATAAAGGAAAAATTCACGTGACAAAATATCCATTTAAAATGTGCTGGAGAAAGGAAGGGAAGAGGAAGGACAAGAAACCATGGCTACCGTGGTCGCTGTTTGCAGAGGTCTAGGGAGGAAGAAGACACTGGGTGACAGCTGCTGTCTGCCTCACAGATCCTGGAACTCCCACGGTGCTATGGAGAAGAGGTTGTTCGCCGTGTAAACAGGTAACCAGTAATGAGAACCTGCCTGTTACAGTGGAAAGTTCTTGTAAGGAGCCTCTTGGAAGTGTATCGTGTGTGGGAAATGTGTGGCTTTTAAGAATGTGCAACTTTTGTTCCAGTTTATTTCTCTGTTTCCTGTATGCATCCATGGAAAGCATATAACAGGTCTTTTTGGGGAGAAACAAATTTCAAAAACAATTGAGAGAGCTCAAATAATGTGGTTTATGCTGTTTACATACAAGGGTCCTGCATGTCTCAAAGACCCTACAGTTTGTAACATCAAATATGAGGAAGGGCTGGGGATTTAGCTCAGTGGTGCCGCTGCCTGCCTCACAAGTGCAAGGTCCTGAGTTTGCTACCAATAAATTCACTTTATAGTAAAAAAATAAGAAAATCAAACGTACAATTCAGTGATATTTAATACATTCACAATGTTCTGCACCACCTATGAAACATTTTTATCCCCTAAAAGAAAGACTCCTGCCCATTAAGTAGTCACTCCCATAGTCCTTGGCAAGGGCCAATTTGCTTCCTCGCTTCCTCTTTTGGCTTTTTTGAAACAGGGTCTTGTATGTGTTCCAGGCTGGCCTAGAAATCACTATGTAGTCCAAGCTGGCCTCATATTTACTGTAGTCCTCCTGCCTCAGCCTCCTGAGTGCTGGGATTATAGGTTTGGCCACTGTGCAAACAAGACCAATCTTCTTTCTGTTTCTATGCTTTTTGTTTTTGTTTATTGAGATATTTCTTAAATGGAAGTATGTGACCTCTTTTGTCTAGTTTTCTTCATTTAGATTTTTTTTTTGAGGTTCACACACATGTATCAGTATTTCACTCCTTTTTATGCTTGAGCAATATTACATTGTTTGTACATATCACAGTAGATTTATTAAGGGCCCAGATATCAAGATGCCTATATGTAATCTAATATTTGGCCTGGGGACACCTGGGTGTCAACAACCACCCAGAGTGAGATTGGGGGTCCTCTCTGGTACATACTCCTGCTAGTCTTCTTAAAGTTTCTGATTGTTACGACAGTTCAGCTAACTTCTGGATCGCTTTTCATACCTGTGGTTTATAACAAACGCTCACAACCAGGCTTGGTAGCACATCCCTATAATCCCAGCTCTTGGGAGTCTGAGGCAGTACGACTGCTGTGAGTTCAAGGCTTGCCTGAACTATGTAGAGAGACACTATCTTAAATAAAACAACTGTTCAAAGCTCACACCTATTTTCCCACAGCCACTGATGTCCAATTTAAACAAGTACCTGCTGATTCTTGGGTTCCCTCCATTACCTGCTCACCACACCCATCTTCCAGATCTAGACCATACTGGAGGCTATATAATTTATTTTAGAATGTTCCAAGTGTCTTTTTTCAGACATAATCATCTGGGAGTAGCCCTTCCTTGCTAATAACCTCACAACACTGGTAAGTGATGGCTTTGCCACTGGAGGGAATAGGGTTCTCTTGTAGCTTAGCTGTGATGCCATCTTGTAGTTGAATGGATGCTTATAATTGGAACCTTTTAGTCTAATCCTGCTGGTTGCCTGCTGCCATCTATGATAAAAAGCAGCACTTCGGGGCTGGGGATTTAGCTCAGTGGTTCTGCCGCCTCTTCACAAGCATAAGGACGTGAGTTCGATCCCCAGTACCAAGGGATGCTCGGGGATAGTTTCATCCAGGTGGCCCAAAGCTATTTCAAGTCCAACCTGTTCAGAATAGGACTTTCTTTCTGCCAACTCCAACCTACCTCCTAAGGATTTTTCATTCTTTAATTTCCTCCTTTTGTCTTTATTTCTGTGAAAGGCTGCCTACCCACTGCTAAATCAGAGGCCTAACAGCCATTCTGGAGAGTTTCCTCTTTAACCTTTACCCTTGTCTGCCTCTCAAATCCAAGTAACCACTAATTTCTTTGCTATTTCTTTCATTCCTCTGCTGCTGAGTAATGACCCTTGACATTTCTCACCAAAACTATCCCAATTGTTTGTCTCTATTTTGTTTTCATATCTTCAGTCTTAAAGTCTTGCATATATCAAAAAGTTCTTTTATATTTTCTCAAACATGATTGATCTGAAGCTCAAACTTGAAATTTTTAAGTGTCCCTGCAGAGCCTGCAGGGTAAATTGAAGATCTCATGTTGCTTACAAGGTAGTCAGACAGTCTGTTTCATGAATCAGCATTTTAAGTGCTTTTCTCAGAAAAATGTTCATTTGTCCTATAGCAGATATAATATCTTCTAGGTTTCTACTTTTTTGGTTTGATGAAAATTTTTATCTTATTTGGTGACTATTTGAGTATTCAATGGAAAGTTGGGAAAGGCTACATAGAAACAATGAGTAAAAGCAAAAGTTTCTGCACAAGTGGATTAACTTTCTAATTATGTATACTTAGAAACCTAAAAAGATGAAATATCAACTGTATAATTAGTGTTATAATAAAAATGACCCTGTTTGTTCAGTTCTCCTTTCTTAGGAAGAGTGTGAGAACTATGAATTCTATATGCCCAAAACTTTGGGCTTTCCTCAGTAACGTGGTTTTTGTGGAGACCTGGCAGCTATGACCATGAATGGTGGCTCCTATCTAGGACATAAGGCTTCCAACCCTGAATGACTCTAGCATATACCCATGTGGGTCTTGGTCTCTTCTACTTCAGCTGTATATTGGAGTGGTCAAAGAAGAAAAACTTCTGGATTGGTGGATTGCTTTAAGAACTCCTACCTAAGAAAAATATCTGGTAATGCCTTCTTTGACATACTGTGCTCCTGTCCTTGCATCTTTTTT